CAACCAATGAAATACGGCAACCCTACTAGCTGGGGGATTGTGGGAGTTGTTGTCCAAGATCCTTCACTTTCCCAAGCTATGCCTCAAATCCTTTTAATATTTGTCTACTTTTAAGTCTCCAATCATATTTTAATTAGTGTATAGTTTGGCTTTTTTAAATGCTTAACTTATTATGTTTCTAATTCGAATCTTTTAATATTGTGAGCTTCCTTATCAGGAGGAAGGCGACCTATAAATAAAACAAACACACAGATCATCTCTCCAGATATTGTGGTTTTTCAGGGTGGAGTTTCTTCCGCAGAGGAACTTCTGTGGAAAGTTTCTTTGGAGGCAGGAAGTTTTCTCCTGTCCCAGCTTGGTGGTAAAAAAACGATCACCTTCACGGTGCTTGTAGTGGAGCCCGGCGGGAAATGCTCCACCTCTTGCAAAGCCTGGTTTTATCCCTGCCCGTAGCCTCTTTCAAGCTGCTAAGCCGTCAACCGTTCCCTTTCATTGTGGGCACGACAGCCAGACCAGAGGTCCCCAAAAAAAACAGACGGACGTGATAAAAAATGCTGGAACTCAACTGGTGGAACCTACGGGCACTCTGCCCTCCCCGAGGCCAAGCCTTTCCTTCATACACTCCGCAATTCGCTCCCAGCGTCTGCTGCTCCAACATTTAGGAAGGGGCCAAGGACTTAAAAGGCTCTTAAAAGGGGATTAGACAGACGGATGGAGGAAGAAGAAGCCGGGAGAGCTTTCTCCGGGGACGAGGGTCAAGGGAGCAGCAGCTGTTCTGCCCAGTGTATAAGGCTTGCGCCCGAGTTGGCCAAAACGAGATGTTTGGTTCCATCCTTGCCAAGAAGCGCCTTCCAAGCCGCTTAAGCCCTTTAGGAACCTTTGCTCAGAGGCAGAGATGAGGAAGTTCCTTTTTTTAAAGATGACCACTCTGGAATCCTAGTGTGGATGCTCTGAGAAATCCGTGCGTTCTTCTCCTAAAAAGGAACTTTCTCAAGTCGACCTGGCAGGGCTGCTCACGCCCTTGGGGACACCACACCCTTCAAGACAGAGCAGAATTGCCAGAAGCAAACGAAGGAAAGTCCATCCGGGTGTGGGGGCCGTTTCACGGTGGGGGCCGTTTGTGGAGAGCCAAATTGTCTTTCCTGGTGCACAGCGAAGGCGCGAGGGATCCTGCGTTTGTCACTGTGTGCTTGTAATGGTCTGGGCCCTTTTTTGGGGTGCTTAGCCACTGCCTCGCTGAGCACCAAGGGGAGAATCGTAGAGTTGTGGAGTTGGAAGGGGCCTAAAGGCCATTGAGTGAAAGCTCCTGCTCAAGGCACATCGGCTTTGGCTCGGTCTCTCTTGAACATTTCCAGCCACCTCGCCCTGAGGCCATGGGTTCCCTTGTCGTACTGCTCTAACAGTTAAGAAGTTTTTCCCTGATATTCATCCAAAATCTGGCTTCCTGTCACTTGAGCCCATAATGACGTGTCCTGCACTTTGGGATGATAGAGAACAGACCCTGCCCCTCCTCTGTAGGATTATCTTCGAAAAATGCTATCCTATGATCTCCTCTCAGTCTTCTTTTTTCCACACAAAACAGGCCCAGTTCTTTCAGTCTTTCTTCCAAGGGCTTGGTTTCCAGTCCACTAATCATCCTCGTTAACCCCCTCTGAACTTGTTCCAATTTGTCGGCATCCTCCTTCAAGTGTGGGGTCCAGAAGTGGCCACAGAACTTTTTGTTGTTGTTTAGTCATTAAGTTGTGTCCGACTCCTTGTGACCCCACGGACCAGAGAGCACGCCAGGCCCTCCTGTCTTCCACTGCCTCCCGGAGTTGGGTCAAAGTCATGTTGGTCGCTTCGATGACCTTGTCCAACCATCTCGTCCTCTGTCGTCCCCTTTCTCCTCTTGCCCTCAAACGTTCCCAACATCAGGGTCTTTTCCAGGGAGTCTTCTCTTCTCATGAGATGGCCAAAGGATTGGTGCCTCAGCTTCAGGATCTGTCCTCCCAGTGAGCACTCAGGGTTGATTTCCTTCAGAACGGATAGGTTTGTTCTCCTTGCAGTCCAGGGGCCTCTCAAGAGCCTCCTCCAGCAACACGATTCAAAAGCATCCATTCTTCAGCGGTCAGGACTTTTGATGAGGCCTAAGCATGGCCTGCCAGCCCCACCTCCCCGTGGCCACCCACTGACCCTTCGCCTCGGCTGCTGCCATTCCTTAGGGGCTTCCATCCAGAAGTGGAAGTTCCGTAGCCTGGTGGCCTCTTGTAAAAATGGACAGAGTGGAGGATTCGGAGAACCTATAACGGACAAACTGGGGAGAGGGGGCTTTGAGTAGGATGTGCTGGAAACCCCCTTGAGATGCGCAAGGCAGTGCGTGTGCGTGAGTGTGCCACGAGTGTGTGCGTGCGCATGCGATGCACGGGCTCCTGGTGTATTTGGCTCCTTTTTAGCCCCGCCTTCTTCTCCCATCTGTTTCCCCCCCCCAGAAAAGACAGGCAGGAGGGGCTGAGTGGAAATTGCTAATGAAGACCTTGGTGCATCTCATTAACACTCTCCCCTTGCAGCGAATTAATTAGGCTCCAGGTTGCCATGGAAATGGGATGTGACCTAGAAATGGAAGGAGGGGCCTGAGGAGAGGGTCTCTCTTCTGCCTCCCCCCCCTTCATGTCAAGAGGATATGGTGGATGGGCCAGAGGGACGCATCCTGCTAATGTTCATTAGCCTCAGACTACCTTTTCCTACTGAAATCTCAAACAACAACAACAAAACCAACAACTTCCAAATCCAAGATGGGTCTGAAAGGGTGCAGGTTCATGAACTCTGAACCGAAGCCAGCTCCGCTTTTCTCTCTCTCGGCTTCCTTTAACCTCCGGCCTTTGGCCGTCCTCGTTCACTGACCACTTCCCTAGTTTTTGGGAACCTCTTAAGCCTGGCGTGGAAGTCCCTGCTCCTCTCTCTCTCTCGGCATTTGGATTCACGTCAGTCACCCTTTCGCCCCCTAAAGTTTCTGATTTTTGGCTCTCCGGCTGTCTTGTTGGGGTTCCTCTAGGCCAGGGGTCTCAAACATGGGGCCCGGGGGCCATTTGCACCCCCTCAGATAGTTTGTGGCCCTCGCCTTGCCTGCCCCCCGAAGCGCCCATACATCCTTTGCTGTCAAGAGTTTAAAAAAAGCCTTGCCTCACTCGCCGGCTCTCTCCCAAGACAGCACCTCTTGCACCCTCCATCCAGAACTGCAGCCTGCCAGCCAGCCCACCTGTCTGCCGGCTAAGGAAACTCCTGGCCGGCTTCCTCGGGCTCTTGCTTCGCTGGGCGGAAAATCTGATGTGGCCCAGCCTCAGCCAGACTCTGCCTCTAGCGGCCCCCAGGTAAATTGAGTTTAAAACCCCTGCTCTAGGCTGACTTGCCCACCTTTTCCTGGCAAGCTGTTTTATCCGTACCTCTCAAGAACTCGAGTGACCTGCGCTGGACCCGAGGATTTCCTTCATTCTGAGCTTTCTTTCCTTCAACCTCACACTTCTCACAACCGGTTTTGATTCTTGATCACCAGCCAGCAGCCGCCCGCATATTTATTTGGGGGGGGAACCTCAAAGTTGTGTTCGCTATTTAAGTGGGATGTTTGCACCTTCCACCCCATAATTTATAGGCCTCCTTCCTTCCTTCCTTCCTTCCTTCCTTCCTTGTCTAAGTAATCTCCCCCTTCCATTTTCCTAGTAGCTGTGCTTGCTATGGCATCGTAACCCACAAAATGTGTTCCACTGTTTTGAATTTCGGGTTAAATTCCTCTAGCGACGCAGCAGAAGTGCAGAGATCCACGGAGCAGAATCGTTTCGAGCTTCCCCCAAAGTAGTTCACCCCATTCTTCTCATTAACTGGCACTTACCATCTCAATAGCTCACACAGAGACATTTGTAGTAGAAAGAATAAAAGGCTTCATGACTTACAATTGAACAGATAAAACAGCAAACGGACACACATGACTGCTTTTCGGAAACGGACTTCAACAGACTCAAGAGAGGGAAAGAATGTAGTACGCAGAACAGCGAGGCGGGATTCTCTTTGGAATCAGAAGCAGGGAAGGAACGGTTGGTTAGTCTCATGGCACAGTGGTTGAACGGCTGCATTGCAGCCAAAACTGTGCTCACGACCCAGGGTTCAATCCCAGGTAGCTGGCTCGAGGTTCACTCGGCCTTTCATCCTTCCGAGGTCGGTAAAATGAGTCCCAGGCAATGTGTAGCCTCCATCATTAACTTGTAAACTGCCCAGAGGATGCTTGAAGCACTAGATTAGATTAGGCATCCTTCAGTCTCGAGAGACTATGGTGACGTGCTCTGCATGGAGGACTTGAAACAGTGTCTAGTATGGCTGGGAAGGCCAATTCGAGAGGGACCATCCCTTCCACACTGAAGGCAAATAAAATCTGTCCCCTGTCCAGCTCTCTGATTTTGCTGGTTTGGGGACTGCCTCTTTGCCTTGGCCTGCTGGACAAGGATCTCTTCAAATTGGGAGAGGTCATGATGCAACGCCTGCCTCCAGGCTGAACGCTCAGAGGTCAAGGTTTCCCATCTATTGAGGTCCATTTCCAAGGCCTTCAGATCCCGCTGGCAGATCTCCTTGTATCGTAGCTGTGGTCTCCCTCTGGGGCAATTTCCCTGCACTAATTCTCCATACAGGAGATCATTTGAAGCACTATGGGGCGGTGTATGAGCAGCACGCTTGGCTTTTTTGCTTTGCTTTAGTGCTGGAGAGACGGATGGTCATCCCAGCCTAGAGAGGACCCTCCCAGCCAAACCTACTAGAGGCAGCCTGCGAGGTTGGAAAAAAATAATAAAAATAAAAATCCCAGGCCCTCCCAGCCAAAGGCCCTTTCTTTCCCAAGGCTATGGAACAGACAGAGAAGCAGGTATTTTTTCCAGGGTGGTTGGGCGGGAGGTGGCTTTGGATCCAGAATAAGAAAATGCACAGAATTAAAATCCGCTTCCCTGCTTGACGCTGCTGGCCTCTTTCTTCTCCTCTCACAGATATCCGAGACAGTGGAAAGAAGCCAGTGATGCTTTTCATCCATGGCGGATCCTACATGGAGGGGACCGGCAACATGTTTGACGGCAGTGTCTTGGCGGCGTACGGCAACGTGATTGTAGTCACCATGAACTACCGGCTCGGCGTGCTGGGTACGAGAAGGTTACGGGCCCACCCCTTGGGCTTTGGGGTGGTGGGTGGGTGATGGGAGACATCCGGAAGTGACCCCGTCTCTCCCTTTTGACTCTTTCCATACCCCACAACTGACACCCGCCCCCCCATTCCTCTCCCCTCGAGAATCCAGAGTCTCAGCTCTTTGTGGTGGGGGAGAGCGTGGAAGGATGAGACTTCTTAGAAGTAATTGGTTTGCTGTTACTTGTTGCAAAGATTGAGAAGTGATGGGTGTCATTGATGTTGCTTTTTTTTGGTGCTACGAACTGGCCTAAAAATTCAAGAAGTCCAGGCAAAAATGCCTCTGGGAATGCTCTTAAAAAGGAATGTTAGGAAATAAAGTTCTAAATGTACAAGTATTGAGTCATTTCGTCCTTACTGGCAAGCTAATTAAAAAAAAAAAAACAGGCAAAACTCTCTGGTTCCCTCTAGTGGCCAATTCTGACATGGCATTTTGGAATTACATCCTATCAAGTGAATTCCGACTTAAGACAACCATTTGCAAGGTTTCCTAGGTACAGGGTACTCCGAGGTGGTTTAACATTCCCTCCTTCTGGGGGCATTTCTGGGACTCTGCAGCTTGCCCAAGGCCACCCGGGGTGGCTCTTCTCTTGCAGTGGGGGAATTGATCCCCCAACCTCTTGCTTCCACAGCCACTCAGCTATCCAGCCAGGCCATCAAAAAACGAAAGCTAAAAATATTTCCCTTGTCTCTGAGGATAGATAAGAGAATCGCATTACCCTTGAAAAAATGCCTGTCACATTCCTCTAAAATAGCTTAACGTGTCCTTAAAATATTAACTTCTGATAACAACTTAGGTGTAAGTTACGCACTGTACTTAAGCAACCTAGAAGTTGTTTATCACAGCCAGATAACTTAGGTGCTGCTTGTTACACCTAAAATTAACTTTTGCAACTACTTGTTACTTTTTTTAACTACTCCCCAAAGTAACTTTTCACAGCTAACTATATTACTTGGAATTAGTTAACTCCCACATTCTAGTCCACCAATACCCACCTTGCAGACTAGATGCGGCTTGTCTGAGGATCGATGGAGTGCAGGCGAGGGTCAGTTGCCCAGACTTTGTGCCTTATGCAAAACAGCACTTACAGTTCTTTCCAAATTGGGGGTGTGTGTGTTTCTGATTTGGTTCAAGATCCTGCCTTCCTGAAATCCGAGTGTGCCTTCTGATTTTGCATGAGGCTGCAGTTTATAACCCCCTCTCCCCACATCCCTCTCTCCCTTTCTTTCCCCTTATGGGTGTGAAAACCTACCCAGGCATAGCCAAAATTAATATTTCATTAAAAAGCTTTTAATAATTAACGGCAAGGCCTCGTTATCTCCAGCAAAAGGGCCCCGGGACGGAGCAATGATTAATTTTAAAGGAAGAGATTGGTCATGTGTAGACCGCAGTGTTTAGCAGAGGCAAAGGAAACACTGTCCGATCAATGGCTTTCCTGGGCTTTTGTCTGAAATGGATGAGAAACTGGAGCGCTTTCCTTGAAATTACCACTTGGGGCCAATATGCGTAAGCGGGAAGGGGGGAGGCAATAAAAAAAGGGGCCAGGCCTGGTTAGCAGATACGCAGGATCTCAGAGACGGGAGGAAGGCGCACGGACCTGCATGCCAGGGGAATAGCCGTGCGGCCGAAGGCCTGGGTCCCTTGCTTCTTTGAAGCCCTTCCTTACCCTGACAGCCAGCCAAGGCGTTGCCCTTTCCATGATTCCCTCTTTGCCTCCTCTGTTCAGAAAAAGTACCTCTTTGGACTACAAGGCCCAGAATCCACCCACACACCCCCGCCGACCCCAGCCTACACATCCAGCAGCTACACTGGCAGGAGAGCAGGGACAGTCTGGAGAGTGAAGCCCCCGAAAGTAACTTTCCCAACTCCATGTCATCCACATTTCTACCCTTGTAGAGCAGAATTGAGGTGGAACTGGAGCCAGTGCATTATGGGATGGATCCTGTTTGATGTGCCCATATACGGTTCATTGGAGTTGGTTCAATTATTTTTTAAGTTTCGCAAGCATATTCTTCCCGCCTCCCCCTTTTCTTGTGGGGTGGGGATTGAAATTCATTGCACCTACAAATTAAAACATTACATTACATTAAATTGCATTAAATTTAAATGACGTTTAATTACATTTAAATGAAAGGCGATGATTTCAGCTGCGGATTGATGGCGCTGGGTCAGCGGATGGCAACTTCACACGGGTTTTCCTCCTCGTCCTTCTTGATCTGCTCCTTTCTCTCCTGACGCCCTTCTCTCTACCGTCTCTCAGGGTTCATGAGCACAGGGGATCAATCCGCCAAGGGAAACTACGGGCTCCTGGACCAGATCCAGGCCCTGCGATGGCTGAATGAGAACATCGGTCATTTTGGGGGGGACCCCGAAAGGATCACCATCTTTGGCTCCGGAGCGGGAGCTTCTTGCGTCAACCTACTCATCCTCTCCCACCACTCGGAAGGTAAAAACGCCCGGCTCCGTCCTCTCCAGAGAGCTGTGTGAAATTTCCCCTTGGGTTCATGGGCAGTCCCCACACCGGGAACAACAGTTGCCTCCTTTAAAAAATAATTCTTGCGCGGGGGGGGGGGAGGGGACTAGGAGCTCAAGCTATCCAGGCCCAGGCAAACCTTAGGGAGAGATACAGAGATCCTTCTTTTTGGATGACGGTCATCCTCTCCTCTGGTCATTGAATCCTAGAATAAGAGAGTTGGAAGGGGTCTCTAAGACCATCCAATCTGACCCCTTGCTCAAGGCAGGAATCCAAATCAAAGCAGATTGGACAGAGGGCAGTTTTCCTTTCCTTTGAATGTCTGCAGCATTGAGGTCATGGGTTCCCTTGTCGTACTGCTCTAACAGTTGAGAAGTTTTTCTTGAGAAGTTTTTCCTGATATTCAGCCAAAATCTGGCTTCCTGTACCTTTGAGCCCATGATCCCGTATCCTGCACTCTGGAACTACTTCACTTCTTTATAACTGACCTAGCTCGGAGACTATGTTTCTGTCACTTCGGCCTGTCCTGTTGACTTTTATTTATTTAAATTTTTACCTTGCTCTTCTAGTGACCAGGCCACTATGCCGGGCGCCTTCCAACCTCATACCGTAGACGTAAATAAAAATTTAGTCATAAACATCAGATGAAAACATTAGTCAAAAGAAAAGCCACCGTACGCTCACAATAAGTATAAGATGGGAGATGCAGAAGATGGCAGCAGAACAGAAACCGTTAAAACACTGAAAATAATGGGAAGCCAAAATGAAAAAGCGAAATTAATTAAACAGCCGTGTTTTCTAAAGCCGAGGAGGAAGGAGAGGGAAGGAGCCTGGCACATCTCTGTATGGAGAGAATTCCACAAGGAGGGGGCCACCACAGGGCAAGGCTTCCTTGATTGATTTGATTGATTGATTGATTGATTCAGTTTGATATACCACACCCACTAGTGCCACAGCACTATTCTGGATGGTTCACATAAATTAGACAGTTACCGTATTTTTCCATGTATAAGACGCCACCCACTTTTCTAATCCAAAATTAAGAAATCTAAATAGGGCTTAGCAAATGTAGGGGGAAAGGGATCGAAGCGCTGCAGGATCGCTTTGATCCCTGCTTTCCCCTCCACTTGTTTTTGTTCTCTCCTTAGCTTGCTTCCATGTATCAGATGACCCTCAATTTTTAGTCTAAAGATTTTAGACAAAAGTATAGTCTTATACACGGAAAAAAATATGGTAATATGATAAAACCGTAAACATCTAACCATGTTTTAAAAAAAGGTGCCTGAGCACTAATAAAAACTGTATAAAAACCAGGGGGAGGGGAGATACAGACAGCAAGTAACTGAATGGGGAAGTAAAACTACCTCAGCTCAACTTTCAAGGGCGGACGGCCTTGGCCCTGATTTGCAAGAAACCTTTTCAGGGTTCAATCCTTGCCCGTAGTTTGAAGGTTCAGGGAGCCAGCAAGAGACAGATCGTTCCCTGTGCCCGGAAACGTAAAACTACCTCAGCTCAACTTTCAAGGGTGGAGGGACGGCAGCTGAGTGGCCTTGGCCCTGATTTGCGAGAAACCTTTTCAGGGCTCAATCCTTGCCCATAGTTTGAAGGTTCAGGGAGCCAGTAAGAGACAGATCGTTCCCTGTGCCCAGAAATGTGGAGAGTGGCTACCAGTCCCAGCGCTCAATACCGAGCCAGATGGAGGCTCTGAACTGCGTTCCCAGAGATGTACCAAAACCAGTCCCTTTGATTCATTGGAGATCTCTCTTTCTCTCTCTCTCTTTCTCTCCCCATCCCTCCTCCATCCCACTCACCTCTCTGCCGCCTCCTGCATGGATGGCCCATTCCGATCCCTGCCGGTAGGTCTGTTCCAGAAAGCCATCGCTCAGAGCGGGACGGCCATCTCCAGCTGGTCGGTCAACTATCAGCCCCTCAAATACACCCGCATGCTGGCCTCCAAGGTGGGCTGTGACCACATGGACACGGGCAACACGGTGGACTGCCTGCGGAGAAAGCCCTACAGGGAACTGGTTGACCAAGACATTCAACCCGCCCGCTACCATATCGCGTTTGGCCCCGTGGTGGATGGGGATGTGGTCCCGGACGACCCGGAGATCCTGATGCAGCAGGGGGAGTTCCTCAACTATGACATCCTCATCGGGGTCAACCAAGGGGAAGGCCTGAAGTTCGTGGAGGACTCCATGGAGAACGAGGATGGCATCTCTGCCAGCTATTTCGACTTCACCATCTCCAACTTCGTCGACAACCTCTACGGCTACCCGGAAGGGAAGGACATCTTGAGGGAAACCATCAAGTTCATGTACACGGACTGGGCCGACCGGGACAATGGGGAGATGCGCCGCAAGACCTTGCTGGCACTCTTCACGGACCACCAGTGGGTCGCTCCCGCAGTGGCCACCGCCAAGCTCCACGCCGAGTACCAGTCGCCCGTCTACTTCTACACTTTCTACCACCACTGCCAGACGGACACACGGCCCGAGTGGGCCGACGCGGCCCACGGGGACGAGATCCCCTACGTCTTTGGCGTCCCCATGATTGGCGCCACGGACCTCTTCCCTTGCAACTTCTCCAAGAACGACGTCATGTTGAGCGCCGTCGTCATGACTTACTGGACCAACTTCGCCAAGACGGGGTGAGATTTTTAGAATCATTAAAACCACAGAAGAGAAAAGGACAAGAACTCTTTTTTTGGGGGTGGGTGGGGGAAATCCCTTCCATCCCTGAACAGGAAACCAGGAGCAGAAAACTCAGTTTTTCCTTTAAGGATGGAGAGACCACAGCTCTGTGGTCTTGGCCCTGATTTGTGAGCAACATATCCCTGGAAAAGCCAAAGAAGTTAGGAAATGAGGGTTGGAAGGCCACTTCCTAACAGACTGGGGAACAGGTGCAGTCAAATGGGTATAGATTCGGGGTGGGGTGAGGGACACGTGATTGATGGACCAAAGGAGGTCTTTCTTTAGTGCAAAGGAGCTGATAGGGTGTGAGCACAAGGAAGTACTTCATTTGACCATGTTATTGCTATTTTTAGGATCCCTGCCCCATATCCACTGCGGATTGGTTCCAAGTAGCCCCACAGATATTGAAAATTGTGGATAATAGCAAACACTATTTATAATAGTGAACACTATACATAGCATGTTCTCCGGCTCCTTCTAGTGGACAGTTCTCGTAACTTCATCGTTAGAAATACATATTTTTGAGATGTTTGTTTTTAATCTTTTTAATATTTTCAGACTGTGGATCAGTGGATACTGATCCCACAGATAAGGGGGCCTTGATGATCATTAAATGAATAAAAAGGAATGTAGGAGGAACAGATTGAGTGGAGGAGGTGGGGAATGAAGAAATGGAGGAGAAAGGCTCCCGGGATCATGGAGCGATTAATGGCAATGGGTTGCTGAGCGGCATGTGGAAACACGGAACTGAGAGGTGAAAGGGGTCCCCAGGGGTCATCTGTCCCAGCCCCTGCGTTCTGATGCCAGGTAGCCACAGCGGAGTCACCACCAGATGGTCACTGAAGCCCTCTTTAAAACTTCCGCTTTGGCTGGATAGTGAGAAGGTCAGAGTGCAGGCGTGACCGCGCGCACCTTGGCGTTAGTGCCGGGGGGGAGTTGTTCTGTTCTGTTCCCAAACCTCCTGTGTGAACAGCTAGTCAGTGTTGGCTCGGTGGAGGCGGGAGTGGAAACCTGTCCTTTGAGAGGATGCATGGCCCAGAAGGTTTTCCAGGGGTGGGGTTTTGACCCCTGGAGGTGTCCCATTGAAGCTCTCTTTAAAACTTCCGCTTTGGCTGGATAGTGAGAAGTTCAGAGGGCTGGGGGAGAGCAGGAACGTCTCGGAGCAGTGATGTTTTGTCTTTTCCCGGGCGGGGGGATCGGCCCTGGAGCAACCTCTCGGGCTGAGCGGCCCCTTCAGCTGAGGCTCAAAGTGCATGGCAGGGGTGCAGCCAAGGGAGGGAGGAGCCCCCCATTGGGGAGTCTGCCTTTTTCCCACTCGCCCACCTCGCCCTGGCACCATGCAGGGCATGTGAAGGGCACAGTATGTGCCCAGGGCGGGAAGGAAGGAGGCAGGAAGTGGTGCAAGAGGAGTCTGTCTGTCTGTCTGTCTGTCTGTCTGTCTGTCTGTCTATCTGTCTGTCTTGGACAGAGGGCAGTGAATCAAGGATGGATCACTCACAAATGGATGCCCAACCCCGGTCCTTGGAGAAGTTACTGTTCTCATTTAGAGTCCTAGTTAAAACAAAGTGTTCTGCTCCTTGGCTGCCTCCATAGTGCTCAAAGCACTCTTTGGGTGGTTTACCGTTTCATTTAGGCAGGTCACACGTTGCTCCTCTCCAGCAAGCTGGCTACTCAGTTGACCAGCCTCGGAAGGATGGAAGGCTGAGTGAACCTTGAGCCGGCTACCTGAGCCCATGGGGATCACACTCAGGTGGTGAGCAAGAGTCTTCACTGCAGTACTGCAGTTTAACCCCTGTCCCATGAGGCTCCTTTAGCTGTCATGGGCAGTAACGGATTCATTCTGGGAGCTGTAGTCTCGTAAGGAGCATTTTCCCAGCCCCCAGTGCCTGCGACTGTCTGTCTGTCTGTCTGTCTGTCTGTCTGTCTGTCTGTCTGTCTGTCTGTCTGTCTGTCTGTCTGTCTGTCTTGGACAGAGGGCGGTGACTCAAGGATGGGTCACTCACAAATAGATACCCATCACCAGTCCTTGGAGAAGTTACTGTACTGTTCTCGTTTAGAGTCCTAGTTAAAATAAAATGTGCTGCTCCTAGGCCGCTCCATAGTGCTTAAAGCACTCTTTGGGTGGTTTACCATTTCATTTAGGCAGGTTACACGTTGCTCCTCTCCAGCAAGCTGGATACTCAGTTGACCAGCCTCAGAAGGATGGAAGGCTGAGTGAACCCTGAGCCGGCTACCTGAGCCCGTGGGGATCACACTCAGGTGGTGAGCAAGAGTCTTCACTGCAGTACTGCAGTTTAACCCCTGTCCCATGAGGCTCCTTCAGCTGTCATGGGCAGTAAGGGATTCATTCTGGGAGCTGTAGTCTCATAAGGAGCATTTTCCCAGGCCCCGGTGCCTGCGGGCATTCTGGAAGTTGTAGTTCCCCAAAGGTAGCTTTTCCAAGTTGGGCATGAGACCGTTGGGCCAGGCGTTCGAGGAGGAAGAAGGAGCAGGCCGCCCACGGATGACCTGATCTCACCTCCGTGTTCTTTCAACTTCTTGCTGCTGACCTTTGCAGTTTTTCCATTATTTCCATTTTCTTCTCCCTCCTCCTGTGATTCTCACTACTGCTTCTGTTGCTATGTAGTTAAAACCATATTTCAGTTGACAATTGCAGAAACTCTACAAAACTTATTCTAGGACTTAGAGGAAAGGGGATTAGCGGAAAGTGAGTTAGGATCCTTGCAGCAAAATCTGGACAAACTTGGGCAAATGTTGTCTGAGTTCCTGTTCTTGGTTCGCTGGAAAGTTAATTTCAGAATCTTGATCCCGGGGTGAGGGGAGGGTTCAGGGGAGGGAGAGAGAGAGAGAGAAACTGAAATCATGACACTCCCAGATGAATTTCAAGGCAATATTTTAATAATAAAATTAGAGATGAGCACGAATTAAAAACCGAATCAGCAAATTCATTTAAAAATCGCAAATTCATCAATTTGTAGTCATACAAGTCAATGCCCCCAATAAATACGAATCAACAAATTTTTAGTGATCTTTGATTTGTCAATTGTTTGGCTATGAAACAGCGCCAAAGGCCCCTAGAGGCACCAAAATTGCAGGGAAGCTTCTTCTGACTCTCCTCTACAGTCCCTCTAAGTTTGGTGAAAATTGGGGTTCCCCCAAACCGTCTGCTAAAGGGCACTTTCCCGGGGGGACCCAGTTTATCCATGTATAACTTGGATGTCTGAAACTGAGTCTTCACCAAATTTGTAGGGCTTGTAGCGGAGAGTCAAGGAAAGCCTCCCTGCAATTTGGTGTCACTAGATGCTTTAGCGATAAAGTAAAAAAAAAATGAAATGATGAATCGCACACAGAAATCATAAATTTGTTGTGATTTGTCGACCTTGACGAATCACAAATCAAAATGAATCACCGTTTTCCTGATTTGTGCCCATCAAGTTCTCTGCAAGTTCCCCTGCTTCCAATGGGCCTACACAGGTTGTGAGTTATTACTAGATTTCAGGTTTTATGATATTCTTACTGCTGGCTAAAATATCTGAAATTCAACCTTTCCCAATGAGAGCATGTTAGTGTCACGCAGTGATATAATTTTAAGCTCTGGACTTGATATGATCTTATTGGGGGGCTCAAAAACTTCCCTTCTGCCTTCCGAAGGGCCCGGGGACAGTTCTGTTACGATTGGAGGGCATCAACCAACCAATTAAAAAACAGAAAACGAGGGGAGCTTTTTTCAATTTTAAAAAAACTGTACGAAACATCAAAGCAACATAATACGCAAACTGCAGGGGGTGGGATAAGCTCTCCCTGTGACAATAAGATGCCCTGAATTGTCTAAATTCTTTCTTCCGAAGCTCCTCTAAGCAGTGGTTCCCAACCTTTGGGGAACCCCGGTGGTCTTGGACCACGACTCCCAGAAAACACCCAGCCAGCGCAGCTGTTGGTGAAGGCTTCTGGGAGTTGCAGTCCAAGAACACTGGGGGTCCCCCAAGGTCAGGAAATGGAAGGCTTCTGGGAGTTGCAGTCCAAGAGTTGCAGTCCAAGGTCGGGAAACCACTGCAACGTAGGTTTTAACCCCTGACATGAAGAACTGTTTTCCCTTCCGCTCTTGGGATTGTCTGTCCCACCGAGCGGCATCCTAAGAGGTCCAGCAATATTTTTTGAAAAGCCTGCAAATAAAATGTCAGGAAAAAAAATAAGGTAAGGATTAATAATAATGCAGAAAACGACACCTGTCGTCAGAGAGGCAGCTCAAATGAGGGAATAATCTTTCTACCTCAAAGACGGTGTCTCCCATTGTGAACCTGCTCGGGGTGTTAAGATCATCAGGAGAGGCGTTTCTCTCCATCCCATCATCATCACAGATGCATCTGAGGGCCTTCTAGGTGGCTGTTCATTTAGACTCTGGAACTCCTTGCCACTGGAGGCCGGCCTGGCCCCGTCTCTGCTGTCCTTCCACAAGTAGTCAAAGACCTTTCTCTTCAGGCAAGCTCTCCTGTAAATGACTGGTTGACCAAGGGGATTTTTAAAAGGGAGCATTCTATTCTGTGTTTCACTTTTGCATTTTTTTAATATTGTTCTTATTCTGAGCTTTTATCCATTTGTTTAATGCTTTTTTTAAAAAATGGCAATCATTTATTATTCAGCTTTTAAGTTTCTTTCTCTTAAATACTTTAAACCGCCTTGGATATTTCAGGAGAAAGGCAGTATACAAATATGTTAAATAAATTATAAATAGGTATCTTATAGAGAAGAGCTAAAGGACTTGTCGGGTGTTTTGCTGCTCCTACAGCTTGCCAAAATTAGAAGAGCTTGCAAAAGTTACTTTGGTGGGGTGGGGGACAAATTCCAAAATTCAGCAGCCAGCATGGCCTATGGTCTCTGGATCGCGTCTCTCAGGATCGCCATACCATAGCAGCCAATGACCATGTTGTCTAGGGGAGATCCTGTGGATCGTTATCCTCGAGAAACGTGTTTTCCAAACTCTAGAGATGCATCTCTTGGCGCCTTGCATAAAAAGTCAGGGCGGTAGAAAGCAGGTCTTCTGAGCAGAGTTCCAACCATTTGGGGGAGGCCACGATCTACAGAATCCCAGAATCCGTGGCCTAGGACTTCCTCCCACCCCACCCGGGAGGGTTCGATGATTCGGTTTCCCCCCCCCCCACGCCTCTGGGCCACCCCCTGGTCCTCGTGGAGCGACTCTCCCCCTCCGTGACTCTCCCGCCTCTTGTCTCCCTTTCCGGCAGGGACCCGAACCAGCCGGTGCCGCAGGACACCAAGTTCATCCACACCAAGCCGAACCGCTTCGAGGAGGTGGTGTGGACCAAGTTCAACACCAAGGACAAGCAGTACCTCCACATCGGCCTCAAGCCCCGCGTGCGGGACAACTACCGGGCGAACAAGGTGGCCTTCTGGCTGGAGCTGGTCCCTCACCTCCACAACCTCCACGAGCCGCCCTACACCTCCACCACCACCCGGATCCCCTCCATCGTCACCCGCTGGCCCAGCACCCGCGTGGGGCCCGTCCCCACCCGCCGGCCCATCCCCACCCTGCCTCCGGACGAAGACGACGTGGTCCGGCCGCAGCGCTACGTCCCTTTCCCGGGAGACTCGCGGGACTACTCCACCGAGCTCAGTGTGACGGTGGCCGTCGGGGCGTCCCTCCTCTTCCTCAACATCTTGGCCTTCGCCGCCCTCTACTACAAACGGGACAAGCGCCACGAGCTGCGGAGCGGCCGGCGCCTCAGCCCCCAGCGCAGCGCCGCCAACGACCTGGTGCACGGAGGGCAAGAGGAGGAGATCATGTCCCTCCAGATCAAGCACTCGGAGCATGACGCCCACGACCTGGAGCCCCTCCGGCCGCACGAAATCCTGCGCCCCGCTTGCCCGCCGGACTACACGCTGGCCCTGCGCCGAGCGCCGGACGACGTCCCCTTGATGACCCCGAACACCATCACCATGATCCCCAGCACGATCACGGGTATGCAGGCCCTGCACCCCTTCAACACGTTCCCCACCGGACACAACAACACCCTCCCCCACCCTCACTCCACCACCCGCGTATAGTGGCTCCCCCCCCTCTGTACCTTTCCGGCCGCGGGGCTCCGGCATTTCCTTATCCACCCTGCCCAACGAGAGGGAGACGGTCTCTTTCCCACCATGTGGACGGCGGCAGGGGGGTGTCTTTTGTATAACCTTGGGGGGTGGGGGTGGGGAAGGCAGCAGAGGGGGTAGAGGTGGATCCCACGCATGGCACAGAGGGAGCGGAGACGTCGCCGTCCATCTGTGGCGGAGTACGGCGTGGCGCCAGAGACGTCGGCAGCGGGAACCGGTCTACTTTCCGGCCGTTCAGGGACCGAGAGAGAGAGAGAGATCGGGCCCAGATGACAAGATCCTTGGTGTGGGAGTGCCCACAAGGAGAGCCATCATCATCTCCTCCTCGAGCTTGGACAGGTGATGGAAAAGCCAATTATCATGTGAAATGTGGGTTTGGTGATCAGGGTGCTGGAGAAAGAGGGAGATGGAATCCCACCATTCTTCCATCTTTTAGGGATGTCGAAAAGAACTATGCTTGTTCCCAGCAACTGTACAGGACTAAAAGGGGTGGGGGGGGAGAGGCAGGAAGGCAGAGAGAGAGAGAGAGAGATCATAGCTCCTGGTTGGAAGGGAAAAGGCCACCCCTTGGCCCAAACAGGTTGTGCGGCATTCGAGGGCCGAACGCAACGCAAGAAGGTCCAGAAAAGATGGAAAAGTTGGAGATGGAGGCCTCCAGAAACCGGGTACCACAGCTTAGCAGAAGGAGAGAGCAAGAGGCCAGCGTCCTTGCACAGGAGAAGACCGCCTGTGTGCCATCCACACCACCGTCCCAGAACTGGTTTGCACCCTGGAATTTTCTTCAGATCCCCAAGGACACTGGAATGAGAAAGGATGTGTCCTCCCTTCCTTCTCTCTCTCTCTCTCTCTCTCTCTCTCCCCCCCCCTTTTTTTTTTCGCTTTCC